TTTTGGATTCGAAATATCTCATTTGGGAAAAAAATATATGCATGATTCTTCTGTGTGTGAATTATTTATTTTTATACAAAAGTGCATGTCAGTATTTTGAACAAATCTCCATCTAAATTCTCTCAAAATGACTTTATTTTACCATCAAACGATTCCTCGTGAAATTCTGCATCTAGTAAACTATGAACCAACCGAAATTGACGGGGGCCCAAAAATGGCCCTTATACGCCGCCATCCTTTGTTAGTTTAACGGTCAAAGCTTTCATTTGACCAAAATATGACCAGCCTTGTTAACTAGGAGTTTGCGATCTTCTATTGTGATATGAACTAATTGTGTTTTTGTTATAATTTAATAGAACTATCCATGATATGTTTAAACAACTCTTGTCACAAATATTTTCTGGTCAATGTCAATTAACTTCACTTCATCTTGACATGATCAAATTACGTTATGCTATTCACCAGTGTTTAAAATCATATCCTTCTCACCTTCCGTTAAAAATAAATTCTAATAAACTTCAACCTTATTGTGTAAGCTTACGTCGTTTGTACATTCAACTCGAATATACATGTTTTCTGGAACATCTCATTCACTGTGTGCCCAATCTAGAACAATTATAGGCTGTTTTTTCACAATTACGACGCGATGATCAATTGCGTGAGTCAAACTTTCAAAGATCGATACTATCAAATGAAAGTTGGTTTAATAAAGTAAGACGAATGTAATATTATTCTAATCATTCATTCCATGAAAAACCTTCTAGTTAAATTTCATCTCTCTCATCATCATGCTATACAAGTGCGGATAAGATGTGTTCTTTTTCCTCTCGTATTTATCGCTATATATATAATCCTTTTCACGTGACTCATCTATCGTCTTCACCACCACCTTTTTCAAAATCTTTCACGGCTCTGCCGGCATGCTAGGCAGCATGCCCAATGTTAGTTTTCCCCAATCTGCCGATCATCCGGCGCCTCAACAATACCTTATCAACAATAGAATTGTTCAAGATCAATGCTCATTCAATTCTTCAATATCGTATTCGGATTCTCATAATAATCATTCACAGATATTATTACATCATACTTCTGCACCTTTTACTAATGGTATTACTACGAATCAATCCTGTTCATCGAATTGTAACAACACCACCACACAATTTCCAATGTTCAACTATCCATACTATCCCCTAATTGTCACCATCAACCAATGCCGTTGAATATTCCTCATTACAATCCGAACATAGTGACATCTAATGAACTTCATCCTACAACAATGACCATGACTCATCACCAATTGAATCATCAACAATGTCCAAATAATCAAAATGTTACACCTATGGAAAGTGAAAATGACAATGATTATACATTAGTTAAACAAAAAAAGAAAAAAAAGATTGATCTTGCACAAAATCAAACATCTTCGTCTTGCTCATCATCACCAACAACACCCACAAGTGGATCTACTTCTTCAACAAATTAAAATTACATTTAGAAATTTTCCACTAGCATTTTTCATACTTCAGCTAAAAAGAAAAAAAAAGAAAAACAAGAAATTTTCATCGGTTCTCTTAATTTTTTAAAATTTATCTTAGTTAAATAAAGAAAAGCTAACTTTTCCCTTCAACATTCAGGCCTCGCAGCGTGTTTACTTTCCTGATTTTTTTAAGGTGGCCTGATTTTCCTGCTTTTGACTGAAAATCCTGATTTTGTCCTGATTTTTCAAGATTTATCTCTGTAGGACCACATATACGTCATTTTTGTGTTTTATTTTGTTATACTCAACGTTTCTTAAAAATTTTATGAAAATATTTGTTGAATATTTTCTATAAAGAGAAAGATGATGCTCAAATTTTTATGTTGTTCATTTTTTTCTTGTAATCACTTTAAGAATCAATTCTTTCGAGTTAATTGCTTTTTGAAAACAGCTATTTTATCATTAGTAATTATCATCAGTACTTTGGCGGTATTTATATCATACAGTTTACGACCGTGCGTAGCTGCATTAAATCTTGTATTCCCTTATTT